GAGAGGATTCGTGCGTGAGGGAGAGATGTCGACCGGGAGAATGAGATGTCGACCGGGAGAATGAAATCTGGACCGTGAGATTGAGATTTCTACCGTGATAATATGAGATATCGACCGTGAGAAAGATATCTCGACCGCGAGAATGAGACCCCGACCGTGAGGATGAGATCGCGACTGCTTAATCTCAATAACATTCAGAAGGTGTGTGTGAGCGAGATCTCTACCGAGTGATACGCATCTGCGCGAGGAGCTTTAGTAGACATCCCAATCATGGAATTCAACTACAAAAAGGAAGTCACAAGCACGGGCCGCTAGATACAGAACTCCTTTGGGGGTGGTGACGGTGGGTGTGGCACTGAGTCAGCTTTGAACAAGAGATGATACGAGCCGCGATAGTTCGGGGACCGCTTGGCAAACGAGCTGAGATGGATATTTAGAGTTGCTTCTAGAGTAACATACGCGGAATAGCAGTGATAGGCGACTCACATCTTTGCTGTTGTTGAACGAGTCAGGCGGGTGAGGGGCCCGCCATTAGCTAAGGAGAAAGGGTAGGAGGGTGGCTTACCTAAGACGTGAAGTATGTCGAGCAAGATTGGGAAGAGAATGTTTGTAGTGGGGAATGTTTTTACTCGACTGCTGGTAGAGGAATTGGAATTCACGCCTACATCTCATGCTAAAAGAAGGCCCAGAAAATTCCAGGAAAATACAATGGCATTAAAGGCAATTCATGCCCACCTTAATGCTGCAGCACTCCTGTCCATGCACACCATCAGTAATGCTGTCAAGTGCTGCAGTTGAACAGTGATGACTGTGGGAGGTATCATTAGTTGCCCATTGTTGATATTATGGATGGATTCATGTGCCCCTCACATGATGAAGTGACCACAAGTGGATAGGAATTTGCTTAGCTGGGCATCACCTAACAGGGATTTTGTTTGGATGCAGCCATCAAGACCCCATATGACATGTGAGGATTGATCATATAAAGCACAAGTTGCATCAAATTCCATGGTCAAGTGGTGTTGGGGTGGATTGTTGGCATGCATTTTGTGAGAACTAGAGCCACCAAGTCAGCTGGAGATGGTGCATGTGAGATGAGTGGCTCAGGTAGACTCAGATTGTTTGTTATGAGACAAATCCATCCAGCCTAACCCCTAAGGAACAAAGTAGAACATGCCACACTCTATATAAGAGCCCAGCAGAGACAAGATGCTAGATGCTCTAACACTATGGCCTGGTTAACTCATGCTACATGTGTTTGCCATGTTTGTGAAAAAAACCCTTATTTTCACCGCGGCATTGTCTTTCAAGCTATGTTATTGATTGCAGAAGCAGGCGACAACCTCCTCACGTTATCAGTAGGGGCCAAACGGATCCACAGGCCATGCGAGAGCTTCTCTCTAAGTCGCTGGAAATTAGGGTACCATATCCCTTTCCATGCGCAACCCACTTGTGGGGTGAGATGAAGTTATTACGCATGTTCTTTTATTATTACACTTTGTTACAATTTGGCTTTGTGGCGATACATGCGGCGAATTTTGGAATTCTAGTGCTGGTATTTCTCATAACAACCCTTGATTGCCTTACAAACATTATTGGAAATTATAACTATATGATTGTTCATCGTCGTTGCATACCTGTACATTTTCCAGGCATCTCTGCCGAGTCGATGCTCAAAGGACCCTTTCTCTGATGTGTCAAGTGGGTACAATCGCAAGACTATTCGTGCGAGTAAATACGCGAAATAACACATGCCTCATATGTTGACCGTAAAATAGTCCCACCCTCAAATGGACTCAGACGACTTCCAAGTTGGTGTGCTGGGGGTGCAGCCTACAGCCGTCTGGCCCGTCGCCAGATGGGTCCTCGAATATGCCTCCCTTGCTCACCGACTGCGACAAGCACGATGACGCAGACATAAATGAAGTCAAACTCCCTCCTCCTACTGTGCCCCGATCGGTGACTTCGTTGCCATCGCCTTCACCGCCCGTCGTCGACGTTTCATGGAACGGATCCTCGTAGGCCGCCGGCGATGAGGGGATCCTTGGTGCGTCGCCTACGGCCCGACCGGAGCGGAAATAACTTTATCAACGGGAGCTAGACTGCGGGCTAGGCACGGGTGCTCAGGTGATCTCTGCGTTCCATTGTCGTTCCATTGGGCGCACACGAGTTGCCAGTTTCTTTGTGAAATTTTGCCAGAGTTTGACTAAGGAAAGCTGACAACAATGGTAGCAACAACCTTGGCAACAATGATTACATCAGAGCTAGCAAGCAAGTCGGTCGACCTCCAGCGCAGCACGGTCGACCGCGATCCAGCGAAGCATAGCTCGCACCGGTCCAGCCCTGAAGAGAAGCGGCTTGCCCACGTTGCAAGTCCACGGTGTGCCAACGTTGAAGCAAGTCTGCTGCACAGCGCTGCACCCGCATGACAACGGTGCACCTGACTCGCAGGTGCGCGCAGCTGGGGGGTGCTCCACGTAGGTCGCCCGCGAGAAGTCCCACCTGGTCGTGATAGCTGTGGCTTCACCAGCAACTTCAGGCGACAAGCTGCGTAGAGTGCCAAAAATGCCAGTCGCCGTCGACACCTACGCCGAGCTCAACCTACACGACGAAGGAGTACAGTCGCGCAGAGTACTGGTAGAAGGTCAGCTTGCTGCAGTTCGCGTCCACCTCGATGAGGCTCGACCTTGCCTTCGCTTGCAGCTTGCTCAATTCTGGCCTGACAGTGCAGAGCGACAACAACTAGCGTGAGTTCGATCGTTGTCTGCTCTACCTCCACATGACGAATTTCGCAGCCGCCAGACTTCCGTAGAGTAGTTTGACGAATGCTCCGTCGAGCAGCTTTCGCCTGGTCGACCGCCAGCACGGCTTGGTCGACCGCCAGCACAGCTTGGTCGACCGCCTGCCATCGTTGCGTAGAGGAGCCGCGCCATCACTACAGAAAGGCGACCTGCCAACAGAGCAGGACGACGGCGTGCCAACGCTGCAGCAGAGCTGCTGTCCAGCGTTGCCCCGTAGAAGACAGCAGTCCGCATGCTCGCTGATGCGCCCCGACGATTGGGCCGACTTGCATTGCTGTGCATCCGTCTGCTGTTGTCTGCGACTGTCGAGCAGGTTACCTGGTCAACCTGGACACCACCAGGTGCTCTGCTCGTCGATCAGGTGCCGTGGTCGACCACCAGGTGCTCTGGTCGACCACAGCACCGGTCTAGCCACACCCTGGTCGACGTACCCCTTCCGTTGACCAGAAGTGTCAGCTGTTGGGGCCGAGCTCCCATCGTCGACTGCCACGTACTTGTCAGGTCGACAGACTGCTCCGTCGGCTTCCCGGTCGAACTGAAGGTCAACGGACTGCTCCGTCGACCTCCCGGTCGAACCGCAGGTCGACGTACTGCCCCGTCAACCTCTCGGTCGAACTGCCCCACCTGGTCGACGGCCCACCCGTCGCCCAGACCGGTCAGTTGCAGCTGTCGAGCTCCCTGGTCAACAGCAACAACACAATCGTCCCCTGCAGCTCGACGAAGCCTGACAAGCAGCTGTCCCACTGTGCACAGTCGGCTGCTACTCCCCCAACCAAGTCGTCGGCATTGCCCAAGCGAGGGCGGGGCCAACACTCCATTCGCGTTAACACATTGCGTAGCTGCACGAGCGACGACAAAGGCGGAAACAGTTTCGTAACTTTACGCGCCACACGGTTGGTTCGAAGTTGGATCAGGGAAAGTACCTCATAGAGTACATGGATAGCTAGTACGTTTCGCATTCATTTGTAGTCCTAAATAAATGAAAGTGTGAGCTTGTTTCTATCAACTGTGTCCATCTAGATTCACTCTGATCTGAGGTCACAACCTTCCGTTGCAATACTATGATCTTGCGAACTTGCTGACGTGATCATAGGCACGATCCACCTTCTGATCGCAACACCTTGTTGATAGTCTACTAGTACATGCCATCACAACCCTGCAGCTGTACATCTGTACAAATGCTTTGTGTAAAACAATATAAGCGGACTGAATTCATTCATAGTGGACGTAACCTTTATGCCCTGACGACTATGCGTGTCGCGGGTGTGCCATGCACTACTGTTGTAGATTGACCTTGAACAGCAGCCTATCAAGGCCAAAAATATGTTTTCAAACGGACTACACATTGCGATCACGCGATATCGTGACATATTACACCCTGACAAGGTGTCTTGTTTTTAATTTACCCTTGGACACACCAAAACCCTAATTGCACCGGGAGTACTAAACTGCCAACGGTTTTAATTGTGCGCAAGAACCAGCAACAGTATATGATAGTTCAAGTGTCTAACAAAAACCAAGGTTGTATGTTTTTTGCAACTCACTCAAAGATCTCACACTGCATCCTTGTAACGGGGCGCTTTTCCTCATCTGGTTTGCGCTCAATACCCATCTCGACCTGCCAAAAACTTTTGTTACCGCTGAAAAACGTGAACAATCTAATTTAGCCGCATCCAAACGAACTAGAAGGGCGCGCCCTTAGGGAGTTCACGTAACTTCGATCCGGCACTAAGCTGTGCTGTCAAAGCGCCCCACACGTCGACCGTGAGATAAAGTCTGCAGCTTGGACGGTGCTGCGCAACTGGCGCGACCATCCCATCCCATCCCGTTCGACCATCCCATCCACCCACCCCTTCTCTTTCTCCCATCAACAAACACCTTTCTCCTTGTGGTACTTTCGCCATTCCTTGTTTTATAATCAAACTCGGAAAATTAGTAGCCTCCTTCTGAGCTTCCTACGCGCCCGGGTTCCTAGGCTATTCATCTGGTACCTTAGGTGAGATTATGGCATATTAGTTTAGTTCTTACCAGCTATCCCTACGGCCAATCAACCGATTCTCTGCCAATTCCTGAGTTTCACAATGCAGCCCGTGCCAAGTCCCTTCGTAGCTGCAGTTCTTCCTAGAAGAGCCGCTGAAGTTACCTCAAACCTGGCTGTGGGTACCTTTGGCTCTCCGGAAGCCATCGCGATGCACAGCAATGGGCGAGCCCAAGACGAGCCCGAGGACGACGTGTTTGCTTAAGGTACGTCTCACTCCTCGTAGCCATTCGTATGAACAACTGACATGCGCACTGTCGGGTCAAACGACTTAATCTACAAAATGTACTTATTGGTATTTCTGTTTGTTTTATAACCCTTTGCCACAGGCTCGAAATTCGTGTCGCTGAACAATGTGTCGATCACGGGTGGTACTAAGCGCCAGACCCGTGCGAGGAAACCTAAAGAAGTGCGGAAGGGGAAACGTTCTACTTTCGTCCGCACGGGCAAGAAAGGCCGCGCTGATGCACTTGGTGATGGCGGTTGTGGAGCAGACACATACACTCAAGGCAATGGTCAACATGCACATAACGCCTCCTTTCCAGCTGCAGCCGCCACTATCTCTCCCTCCTCCGCCTATGTCAACGCAGCGGCGACTCATCAGCTCGCCACCTCTCACTCAATCCCTGGCCTGCCCTCCGCCTCTGCCTCCCTTTCAGCTGCAGCCGCCACTATCACTCCCTCCTCCGCCTATGTCAACGCAGCGACGACTCATCAGCTTGCCGCCTCTCACACAATCCCTGGCCTGCCCTCCGCCTCTGCCTACCCTTCAGCTGCAGCCGCCACTATCACTCCCTCCTCCGCCTATGTCAACGCAGCGGCGGCGACTCATCAGCTCGCCGCCACTCAGTCAGTCCCTGGCCTGCCCTCCGCCTCTGCCTCCCTTTCAGCTGCAGCCGCCACTATCTCTCCCTCCTCCGCCTATGTCAACGCAGCGACGACTCATCAGCTCGCCGCCTCTCACTCAATCCCTGGCCTGCCCTCCGCCTCTGCCTCCCCTTCAGCTGCAGCCGCCACTATCACTCCCTCCTCCGCCTATGTCAACGCAGCGGCGACTCATCAGCTCGCCGCCTCTCAGTCAGTCCCAGGCCTGCCCTCCGCCTCTGCCTCCCTTTCAGCTGCAGCCGCCACTATCACTCCCTCCTCCGCCTATGTCAACGCAGCGGCGACTCATCAGCTCGCCGCCTCTCAGTCAGTCCCTGGCCTGCCCTCCGCCTCTGCCTCCCTTTCACCTGCAGCCGCCACTATCTCTCCCTCCTCCGCCTATGTCAACGCAACGACTCATCAGCTCGCCGCCTCTCAGTCAGTCCCTGGCCTGCCCTCCGCCTCTGCCTCCCCTTCAGCTGCAGCCGCCAATATCTCTCCCTCCTCCGCCTATGTCAGCGCAGCGGCGACTCATCAGCTCGCCGCCTCTCAGTCAGTCCCTGGCCTGCCCTCCGCCTCTGCCTCCCTTTCAGCTGCAGCCGCCACTATCACTCCCTCCTCCGCCTATGTCAACGCAGCGGCGACTCATCAGCTCGCCGCCTCTCACTCAATCCCTGGCCTGCCCTCCGCCTCTGCCTCCCCTTCAGCTGCAGCCGCCACTATCTCTCCCTCCTCCGCCTATGTCAACGCAGCGGCGACTCATCAGCTCGCCGCCTCTCACTCAATCCCTGGCCTGCCCTCCGCCTCTGCCTCCCCTTCAGCTGCAGCCGCCACTATCTCTCCCTCCTCCGCCTATGTCAACGCAGCGGCGGCGACTCATCAGCTTGCTACCCGGATCTCTCCCTCCGCTGCCTATGTGCACGTCTCGGTTCCTGGCCAGTCCAGGCCCGCCGTTGCACCTGGATCGACCTCCCTGCCACCTGCTCCCAGTGCACTCTCACCCTCGCCCTCCTATATCAATCCTGGGTTGCACCCAACCAACTCAGGTCAGCCTGGCTCCGGCCTCATCCCACCAGCCTCTGCACCCCCTGCTGCCGCAGTGGCACCCCCTACTACACAATTGCAGCCGTCTGGACTCCCATGGGCACTCCGTGTGCGCAACAGAAGTCCGCTCTCCCAGACCCTGGACCATCACATGTGGAGGCCGGGTCGGATGAAGACTCCGACGATGATGACTCCTTGGAGAATCAAGTTGAGCATGGTGGTGAACAGCGGCCTGCTGCAACCAGGGTTTCGCGAGCCGCTTTTGAGGCCGCGCAAGCGCAAATCCGACAACAGGCGCGACGCATAGCTGAGCTGGAGAATCAGCAACCTCAGCAAAAAGGCCCTCATGCTGGCAGTCACGCCATGGTTCAGCGCCAGGCCAATATGCCCAGCCCTTCCCAACAGTTGCCGGTTGCACCCCAGCTTGCTCCTTCAACCACTCGACCTTGCACCCAGCCGAATGCAACACCGACCCTGATTTTCTCACCGGTGGTGTGGCCACGAACGCAGGCCGCTTTTAGCCGTGCTGTGGCAAAGGCCCACATCAAACGGCAGGCCATCGACTGCTCTGCAATGTCGCCACGGCAATGCGGGTGGTACAATAACGTCATCACGGCGTTAGATGCTTTCCCGGATGTGAACGAGGACCTTAAGGTGAGCAGCAACCCTTCGTTTCAACCTTCGTCGTGCTTACAAATGACATTAGCATTGGGTGCCTACATCCCCCACCCCGCAAACTCCTCATGCCACATACATTCACGCCCTCCCTTCCCTCCCCTGTTCTCTCTCCCACTCTGCCGTGTTGTGCACAATTTTTGTTGCTCTCCTGCAGGACCACGTGGATGAGGCTCTTGATATCATGTTTTTTGACACCCCAGTCACTGATTTCACAATGTGGCCTAGTACCGAACGCCTAGAGGCGGCCCTGCGCAAGGCCCTAGGCCTCACTGAGCCGGAGGAGCATTTTATCGTGCATATTGTTCTGAAAGCTGACAAGTACAGGAACGGCTACATTCGTGACATGATTCAAGCGTATCGCAACGACGCATTGACGGATGGGCGCAATTGGGTGTACGACGACTTCGACTTGTACGTGCGACGGCCAAGGCTCGGTGGGAAGAAAGTAGGCACCCTCACGACAGTGCTGTTCTTGGACCAGTACGCTGAAAGTGAGTATGATTTAACACTCCTATCACACCCCCGCCCCTACCCCACCCCCGTTCCTCCCTCTCCTTCCAAATGAGAATGAAACCTTTTCAACCCTTCCACACTCTATTCTAGACAATGTGTTGTTGTAGTGTTTGGTTGAGGGCTTTCCTTCTTTCATTCCATGCGAAATGTCACAAATCCCCGTCAAATATACCCCTTTCCCAGCACATTCATTTTTTTCCCCATGCCCTTCCTCCACCCCACATCATAATCCTTCACTCTGTCAACATTTTAGCATCAGGCATCTTCTGCTCATCATTTGTCCCTTGTTCCCTGGTTCAGTGTTGCACCAACATCACCCTCCTCCTTCCCCCACCCCTACCCGTCTTCTTCTTCCCCCCACCACCTCCCCGTCCACCTTTCTCCTGTGTTCCGTCTTTCCTGCTAGTACCCTCCCTGACATCGCTTCCCCACAGCAGCAATCACTGTCTGTATGATCCCAGCCCAGCAGTCCCCAGTGTACCCTCTTTCCCTCCCTGTTTTCCCCTCCCCACCCCAGCAGCAAGCAAGGCCAGCCAAGGCAGAGCCCAACAGTCCCCAGTGTACCCTCTTTCCCTCCCTGATTTCCCCTCCCCACCCCAGCAGCAAGCAAAGCCAGCCAAGGCAGAGCCCAACAGTCCCCAGTGTACCCTCTTTCCCTCCCTGATTTCCCCTCCCCACCCCAGCAGCAAGCAAAGCCAGCCAAGGCAGAGCCCAACAGTCCCCAGTGTACCCTCTTTCCCTCCCTGATTTCCCCTCCCCACCCCAGCAGCAAGCAAGGCCAGCCAAGGCAGAGCCCAACAGTCCCCAGTGTACCCTCTTTCCCTCCCTGTTTTCCCCTCCCCACCCCAGCAGCAAGCAAAGCCAGCCAAGGCAGAGCCCAACAGTCCCCAGTGTACCCTCTTTCCCTCCCTGTTTTCCCCTCCCCACCCCAGCAGCAAGCAAAGCCAGCCAAGGCAGAGCCCAACAGTCCCCAGTGTACCCTCTTTCCCTCCCTGTTTTCCCCTCCCCACCCCAGCAGCAAGCAAAGCCAGGATAGGCCCAGCCTGCCAGTCCTATGTGTACCTTCCTTTTCCATTTTGCCTGACTAATGCTTCACATTCCAACTGTTTCACAAAGTATCGTATCTTTCCCCTACGACACGACAGGCCCTGCATCGTTCAACATGCTTACTTGGCACATGAATGAGCACCGTGTGCCGTTTGCATCACCTTGCTTCATAAATGCAATCAGCGCCTCATTCAAGCGCCCCCAAGGTCGCAGGCTTATTCTCCCGCTGAAGTTACTAGCGTTCTGGCTGAATGGGGTGAGTGCAGTTTGCTGCATCTGCTACATTCTTTTTAAGGATCTTCTAGTGCAGAGACTAATCATGGTATTCCCTACAACCTCAGGTGGAGCACCGCGTCATCCACGGCAGTGATTTGCCGAGAAGCACCAACGACAACATCAGCGATATGAACATTTATTATAACAAGATTTGGAACTGGACAAGAGCTGCAATTGGAGGAGCAACGGCCGCAAATGGTCCCTGGTGGCGGCCGGGTGTTGGGGCATGGTCGTTCGCGCGCAGCGATGTTGTTTTTATTAGTGGTGAGGGTCTCGAGGGCCTAGTAGCTAGTGCTTTCACGTATTAGTTTTGGTGTTTTCAAAATGTAGCACTGTTTGCTGTAGGTTTCCCTGCTTCTGGTATAACACTAATTAATAAATGTTCTTTTAATAAACAATTGAACATCAATAACGGCTCATTTAAAAAATAATAAAACTCATATTTTATATTGAAATATTAAGAACCCGAAATGTAGCGAATTTATTAATTTGCTGATTTATAGCGAGATCTATGTAGCAGCACATCAATTGTATTACCCGCTCGATTAAAGCACTTTAAATTAGCCACAAATTGAATTTCGCGAAACAATGAAATATATATCGAATTTTACATTCTTTGCTCATCACCACATTTCGAAACTATCGTAGAGGGAAGGAGTTGGGATAACCATTGGCGGTCCAACAATGTTGGAGTGACGAATGGCCAATCCGAAGCTCCTCTAAAGTTGTGGTTCCTTCCTCAACTGAGGGACGCCCAATCGCACCAACTGCCGAACCAATACGAAATGGTCTGTGGTTGGTCCCTCGAAGTTGGGAATGTGCTGAGTGCGCTCTGCTCACAAACAGCTCGAAAAGCATAATGGCCACCAACATCAGCCATACTTTCCAAACCATTACGAGGAAGTAAGATTTCAAGTAACACCAGAGCAGAATTTCCGAACGACATTTTTTCGGATGAAGGAGGGACTGCCTGACACTATGCAGTGAAAAGAGCAATGTTGGGATTTTCTTGAATCGGAATTCTGAAAGTCAGGCCTGGAGAGGTGAAGCATCAAGAAAGTTCAAATGTGAAGCTCAAGTTTGCTCCGCAACGAGGGGCTGTGATTGGTCACTTGGGTTCGGCTCGGCTTGTTTCGTGTGGTGTGGTTTGCTTCGGGTTAGCTTCGGAAAGGTACTGGTAAGGTTGTGCTTGTTTTGGCGCGAAAAAACAGGCTTTGAGGGAAGTGGCTCGACAACTTCAGGAGCTAGGTGGACGAACTCCAGCAGATAAAGTCGAGCTCACGATAATGGTCGAAGCTCGACGAAAAGATTTGTGGACAATGTAACTTGCAAGAACGAAACATTTTCCTCGCAGCAACCTGCAGAGAAACGGACAATTCCACTCCTTCCCTGTCTGAGGACCAGGATACTACTTCACCTCAGCAGAAACCAAGCCGCTTCGGGTTTGCGCTACCGCTTTAGTCATTCTTTGTCAGGAGTGAAGCGTGAGATAGACCGTCATAGAAGATCAGTGTGAGAGCTTTTAGTTGAAGCAAGGTAGGCGAAAAAACACTCAGTGAGGTGTGGTGACGAGGAGACGCATCATCAAGTTTACTCTATTTTAGACCACCCTGGCTAGCAGCAGCTGTCATCGGCAAGGCAAGGCGCCGCATGCGATATAGTCAAATCGCGGCATTGGTCTGTCGCGAGACCTTTCTTGCGCGACCTTTCTCGCGAGACCTTTCTTCTCGCGCTTACTCTCACTCACCACGTTCGTCACAAAAAAATTCGACGGAAATCTTTCCTCATGAAATCCTAAAGCACTGCTTGATGTTTGTCCCAGACACCAGTGTTTGAGGTCTATCTTCGGGAATCCTCCACCGCGCAGGGATTGGTTGAGGTTTCATTTTGAGGTTTGTAAGTGCAAACCTCGTCAGGCTCGGCAAGGATTGCGCCAACATAGGGCCAACACTGCTCATACTCACTACAAGATTCGGGGAAATTCATTCAAGAGGTGCTCTGTAACGAAACAAAAAGGTTACCAGAGTACACCTGACTCATCGTAAATTAGAACGACTTGTTATACAAGCATTACATAAAATATTTACGGCTTCCGCTATACGCACTTCAGTGAGTGAAATTGTCAGTTTAGGTATAAAGCCACAAAATTAATACCTTCAGCTGTATTCCAGCTGATGTTCTGGAATGCCTTACATGTGAACCACTAATGCATTTGAGCAGCGTTTAGTGCACTGTACAATGTACAAGATAAAACAATATATCCGCAATTGCAGCATGCATTACTACCACTAAATTAGATGACAAACGGGACCTGCAATATGCTGGCAACACACGCAACGAAGCTAGACAGCTCAGAACCACCGTTAGTCAGCACAGGCAACGAGCACCAAAAGAGAGCTTACCTAACTTGTTAGGCGTTGATGTGACCGAAACCACGGGATGTTGATAACTTCGACAAACATGGTAGAAAGGATAGGGGGGTCGTAGAATGTTCCTGCACCCGATGACGCACGTACCTAACCTGGAAATACACATGGCGCAGACAAGATGCATATTAGAGATTGCGTCGTTGGCCCAAAAAAAAATCTCACATGATTTCACGCAACTCGTGAAGCGAGTAGACGTATTTGTCTGTAGATTGTAGATTGCTTCTTCACCCTGCACAGGACTTACATATCCTGGAAATATAGAAGGCACAGACGAGATGCATGTTATAGAATGCGTCGTTGGCGTGAAAAATCTCACCTGATATCAACGCGATTTGCGCAGCGACTATACGCGTCTGACTATAACGCCAGTGACGCAGGCATGGAAGCTGTCGGAATAACTTCCTTAATACTGCCTCGCAAAGCAGACCCTCGACGACCTGGCAGCGGGAGGACAGAAGACCACGAACATAAAAAACAAAAACAAAAATATCTATAGAAACGTCCGAACTTCCAGCGCAGGTTATGAGAAAACGAGGAGCAAATGTTTCGAGAAGCTGAAGTGGCACAGGTGACGAGAAAATGAGGAGCAAATGATCCGAGAAGAAGTGTGGCGAGAAAATGTAGGACTAGGGATGCACTTTGAAGAAAGAGGAAGCTCCTTGTGCACCAACGATCGTTGCTGTGGTGTGGTGTCGCACGTGCAGGTTGGTGAGAATCTAACGAGTTGTTGTGCGAAGTCGAAAAGTTGACGTGTAGTGTGGGGTGTAACACGAAAATGGATCCGAAATTCGCGTGACGAAGGCTGGCGAATGATGTATCACGAAACCCTGAGTTTTCAAGTCGTGCGTCACCAAGCCCCCAGTCTCATCCGTGCTGTCACATCCAGTTGTGACACTGCAGAGTACCATCCACTCCGTTTCTGACGCGTCAGCAAAGCCTTATATGTGGCACATTTTTTCATCCGTCACGATCGTTTTAAGTTTCGAAAAGGTACTGTACTACCGAAACAACATGCGAGGCCTGCTGTAACGAAGAACCAAATGAAACACGCACCCCTCCAGGAAACACAATGTGAAAGGGGTTCCATTGCGCAGCTACACAGTGCCAGTGCATCTGCATTTCTTGGCTCGAAATGATTGCTTTGTGTGTGCTAACAACTTTCTAGGCCATGCCCGGATGCGCATGCTTGCTGGATACGCCAATTGTTGACAGCTTTTGGGCGTCCCATTTTTTGTGACGTTTACGCCGCGGCCTGAGTGCTCCCTTTTCCAAGAAAACCACCTACTAGGAGTCCGAGTTTCAGATTGCACGAAGTTGGATTCAAGTCGAATCAACTAACCACGTGGCTGCCGTTTCGTTGTGTCGCTCGCCGCACCCAGGCATCGGTCGCTCGCGCGCCACGTGCCGGAATTCGTAGCCTTTCCGAAGTTGCGGGTGCGCCACTTGGCCCGTTCAGCGCGGCGGGTGTTAGTGCTACCAGCGATGGCGGCGCGAGAGGTGACGGTGGTGTTCGGCGAGGAGCGGTTCAATATGGGAGTGGAGGTCGATATGGGCGTGGAGGTGAGGCGATGGGGGGGGTGTGGGAAGGAGGGACGGCGGGAGCAGGGCGGCGGGAGCAGGGCGGCTGGAGTAGGACGGCGGAATCGTGGATGGATGATGGAGAATTGTAAATGGCGGGATGGGAATGTGAGGATGAGTTTGGGCATGAAGGGGAAAGAAATGCAAACGCCCCTAGATAGACCTCACGGCGGATGAGAGGGACAGAGGTGAGAGAGGGACAGAGGCGAGAGAGGGACAGAGGCGAGAGAGGGACAGAGGCGAGAGAGGGACAGAGGCGAGAGAGGCCTGAAGCGGCTCGTTTCCTGAGGAATTGGAGGAGAGAGAGCGCTATAAAGCTTCAGTTTTGAGGCGCCTCAAAACTAGGCTCGTTTCATGAGGAATAGGAGGAGAGAGATGCTCTGGCGAAGCCGCGAAGGTTGCAAGAGCTGTACCTGTGAGGAAGGCAACTCAAGAGAGGCGGATTTTGGCCTATTCTCTAACTGTTTCCAACTGGTTTCATGCGTCCAGCCCAACTAGCTTAGCCTCGTCATGCTGTGGAGAGGAAGCTGCTTGTCTGCTACAAGTCCTGGTTGTGATTGCAGTCCTGGTTCAGGTGATTGTAATGCTGGTTCCCCTTATGGCATTGTGTTCACTCCCCTCCATACATATACTCACCCCCACCTTGTCTTCCGATCTGCATCCTCCCTCCCTCCCTGCGGCCACCTTTTCTTTCCTTGTCGTCGGCCACCTTTTTTAAATGGGTGAGCTACCTGTCATCGTGTCCCCTCCCCACCACCACACCTTCTGCCTCATCTGGTCCCCAATTCCCCTTATGACCACCCCTGCACCCCTTACGACCACCCCAGCACCCCTTACGACCACCCCTGCACCCCTTATGACCACCCCTGCACCCCTTATGACCACCCCTGCACCCCTTATGACCACCAATGCACCTCTTATGACCACCTCTTCTCTCTACTGCCCCGTCGTTCTTCCCTGTGCTAGCCCTCCCTCCCTCCCCTACTCCTGCCTCCTCGGCCTCCCATTGTGTCTCCGCTGTTACACCCCGACCTGCGCCTTCCAGTCTACACTCCTATGAACACTCCTTGCATATCTGCCCTCCTCTGTCTTTGTCCCCACCATGCAAGTAGGTGGACTCCCCATCATGCCCTCGCTCCTGCAGCCCCACCTGTGCTGCTGCCCCCTTCCAGTCCACACGCATATGAACACGCCTATGAGCACGCCTATGAACACGCCTATGAACATGCCTATGAACATGCCTATGAACATGCCTATGAACATGCCTATGAACATGCCTATGAACATGCCTATGAACATGCCTATGAACATGCCTATGAACATGCCTATGAACACGCCTATGAACATGCCTATGAACATGCCTATGAACATGCCTATGAACATGCCTATGAACATGCCTATGAACATGCCTATGAACACACCTATGAACATGCCTATGAACATGCCTATGAACACTCCTTGCCTATCTGCCCTCCTCCGTCCTTGTCGCCACCATGCAGGTGCCAGGTGGGTGGTCTCCCCATCATGCCTCCGCTGTTGCACCTCCGCCTGTGCCATCTGACCCTGAGGCGTACAGGGATTGTGGGTGGTCTCCCCATCATGCCTCCGCTGTTGCACCGTGCAGGTTGAATCAGCTCAAGAAAACTCAAAACATGGTCCCGCAATTCACGGTGTAATGTTTTAGATTGTTAAAGTACAAGCCTCGATGGCGCAGTCGGTAGCGCGTAGGTCTCATAGCATTCCGACTACCAGTTTCCTGGGCGGAGCCATCCTAAGGTCGTGAGTTCGATCCTCACTCGGGGCAGATATTTTGCTCGATGGTAATTGCTAGTGGCAGTAGCAATGACAGCTTGTGGAGAGAGGAGTGGCGGTTTTGGCTCTTCTGCTAGTGATGGTTTTGGCTCTTCTGCTAGTGATGGTTTTGGCTCTTCTGCTAGTGATGGTTTTGGCTCTTCTGCTAGTGATGGTTTTGGCTCTTCTGCTAGTGATGGTTTTGGCTCTTCTGCTAGTGATGGTTTTGGCTCTTCTGCTAGTGATGGTTTTGGCTCTTCTGCTAGTGATGGTTTTGGCTCTTCTGCTAGTGATGGTTTTGGCTCTTCTGCTAGTGATGGTTTTGGCTCTTCTGCTAGTGATGGTTTTGGCTCTTCTGCTAGTGATGGTTTTGGCTCTTCTGCTAGTGATGGTTTTGGCTCTTCTGCTAGTGATGGTTTTGGCTCTTCTGCTAGTGATGGTTTTGGCTCTTCTGCTAGTGATGGTTTTGGCTCTTCTGCTAGTGATGGTTTTGGCTCTTCTGCTAGTGATGGTTTTGGCTCTTCTGCTAGTGATGGTTTTGGCTCTTCTGCTAGTGATGGTTTTGGCTCTTCTGCTAGTGATGGTTTTGGCTCTTCTGCTAGTGATGGTTTTGGCTCTTCTGCTAGTGATGGTTTTGGCTCTTCTGCTAGTGATGGTTTTGGCTCTTCTGCTAGTGATGGTTTTGGCTCTTCTGTTGCTGCCAGCAAAGGTACCCCTGCTAGTGATGGGAGCAGTACTTGCAGCTGCAGCGGGACAGGGGAGCAGCAGCAGCGCACAGGAGGGGGGTCAGGGTGGGTGATAGGGGTGAAGGAGTGTGAACCTCCAAAAGAAGTAGCGGCAGGGGTGGAAGGTTGGAGGTACGAAGAAGGGGCTGTGCTGGCAGATGTGACGATGCAGGCAGCACAAGAGGTGCTGCCACATGTCAAGCAGGCATTGGAGCAGATGCGGGCCGGGAACGGTGGGGATGGAGATGCATCGTGGCTGCAGGGATTGGTGCAGCATGAGAGGGTGTGTGGTGGCATGGTGTCAGCTGATGGGGAGAAGGCACTCAATGAGATGGTGAGATAGGAGTGCTTGTTGTATCACACTTGAGAATTCTCATAAGTGATGGTTTTGGCTCGGGTGTGCTTGTATCAGTTCTGAGATTCTCAAGTCAAGGTGAGATGGGAATGTGCAGTTGTGGAGGGCAAGATTGGCTCTGTGTCACTCCTGCCAATGGTGGGCTGGCAGGGTTAGGGCTCGACTCAGTGAATGCTCTCTCTCTCTCTGTACCATGAGTATGTGCGTCTCACCTGATGCGGCAACTTTTTAGTCGACTAAAAAAACGTCCAAGTTGGGGAATGCCCTCTCACTCGTGACTTTCTGCGTGTCAGCTGATGGGGATAACGCACCGAATGAGATGGTGAGATGAGTGTGTTTGGCTGTGGGTGGATGGCAGGATTGGAATGACAATGTTTCACTGGGTGGATTTGATGCCATCTCAATGGCTCATGGGAGAATGCATCCAATGAGATGGGTGTGGCTGAGTAGGTTCGTGACCTGGTGACCCACTCAAGGTGACTTTTGAGTCGACTCAAAAGATGGGTGTGGCTGAAAAGGTTCGTGACCTGGTGACCAGGTGAATAGGATGGGATGCCGTCGTTGTGCATGCTACCGTGTTTAGAGTCGACTCAAAACAAGGTTAGTGACCTGATGCTTTGCTCAGTGAGAAGGTGAATAGGATGGGATGCCGTCGTTGTGCATGCTACCTGGTGTAATGAGCATCCGTCCATCCCTCCATCCGTCTGCCCTCCCAGGCCGTATCGGCATGCGATGCATTGCTGCACTCCAAATGGCTACACCATGAGGGAGAGAAAGGTACGCCGCTATGACATGTCATTATGAGTTGCCATACCATGCCGTAAAATGCCCGCCATGCCACGCCATGCCATCTGATGACATCCCACGCCATTCATGTGCTTCGTTGTGAGTGCAATCTTGAGCTCCATCCAGCTCATAACATCAGACCAAACGTTCTTGTCTTTTTGTGAACGCTCTTATTGCAGTTACTCATGAGAAATCTCTAAAATGACTTAAAACGTTCTTGTCACTTTGTGAACGTTCTTATCGTTCCGGTGGCACTCCCTTCAGGTGCCTGGCTACAGTATCGGCTCAGTGGCCCTGCTCCTGTTACAGTCAATATGTATTCAATCACATCGGCGAATGATTGCCCAGAGAGGGACCCCTGCTGCTGGTGAGTTTCGCATGAGCTCATGAGACATGCATGGTGATGAGACATGAATGGTGATGAGACATGAATGGTGATGAGACATGAATGGTGATGAGACATGAATGGTGATGAGACATGAATGGTGATGAGACATGAATGGTGATGAGACATAACAAACATTCGTGTTTCTTGGCTGTGCTAAACCGCCTCCTGTTTAAAGCACTATAAATACATGTTTCTGATGAGCACATTCTCTCAGCCGAACATCCCATTCTCTGTATCAGGTAGCGAGCCAGCAAGGATGGCGGAGAAGCTTGGAGCATTTTGGATTCACAGGCTGGTGTGCAGTTCAGCTGCAGGCGCCAGACTCGAGTGTTTGAGATCAGCCCAACCAAGCAAACCCCAGCGACTCTGTTTAGGTACAGCATTGCTGCAGCGACTCCGTTCAGGTACCGTGTTGTGCAGCAATGAATTCCCCTGCATTAGTGTCTACTGTGTGCATGCATTCTGACACTATGTGGATCTTACATCACCTAAAACACGTCACTCTGAACAGTCTGGTCCGGTGTGATAAATAAGAAATTCAGACAAATTCAGCAAGAAATTACCGTGTCATGTGGCAACCCCTAATCCAATCTCTCCTGTTACAAACTGTCACATTTCTGCATCACGTGTGTAGGATTTCAAACATTCTTGGTGTCCGCATCCTCAGCTTCTCCAGCATTGTTGGTCCTGTGCTGGAAGGGACTGTCTGCCTTGGAGATGCAGTGGAAGAAGGTTCACCACTTTCTACTTTGCCAGAGACGACTTCACAGCTGCTGCCTTTGACTCTGGAAACGCAGAAACAGTACCGGTATACTGAAGGCGGAGCAGGCAAAAACGCAACGCAATCTGAAGCTGGTCGGGGATGTCGAGAAATGTGGTTCGTCGGATCTTGAGATCGGACGAACGATACTTGTCAACAGTGTTGGAAAATACAAGCAGACCAGCTGAAGTTCCATGCAGTCTTTGCAAACCTGGTAGGCTGGTACCGTATCTTGGATGTGAAATATCGGTATTCCAATCTTATTGTGCTGCATGCGAGCCACTCTAATGGGTAGGGTACCAGAAGGACCTTGAGGAAAGCTCATTGGCACGCAAACAACTAGATAATGCCATAGATGTTTGCAGACACCCACTCTCGCCAGCATATACCGTCAGCCCCCGGATAGAAGCGCCCCTGGGGGCATAAAAAAACACTGTTTTTTAGGGGGTGCGCTTATATTTGAGGATCTTTATAAGCGCCGGGGCTTATATAATGACATATATGAAATCTAGTTTTTTTTACACTAAAGTGTTCATCTCGTCCTTGCGATTTGAATCGAATCGATATTGTAGAGGGCATTGAATTTGAATTTCGCGTGAATTGGCAGTGGCTGATTCCCTGCCAACACACACAGTCAGAATGAGTCAGATTGACTCCCTGCCAACACACACAGTCAGAATGAGTCAGATTGACCCCATGACAGCTCATTCTGACTGGACGCGAAGGCATTGAGTCGAGTGAGGGGCAAGGGTTTCGAAATTCTGAATGTGGGGATGCAATATTGTGTTTCGTTTCAGCGTTTTCAGTAAAAATATAAAAAATATTACAGAGGGTGGCGCTTATAATCCGTAAGCCTTCAGGGGTGCGCTTATAATCGAGGACCGGATATAAGCGCCCTCATCCTTTTATAAGCGCCGGCGCTTATCCGAGGCCTGCGCTTCTATCCGGGGGCTTACGGTAATGCTGACATTTTATTTAACTTGAATATCTTGAAAACACAGGGGTGTGATTACCGTAGTAGTCTCCGGTCATTGTTTCGATTTTTTTTGCAGCCACTTGCTGTCACGAAATCTGTGTAGGTCCAGAAGAGAGAAGGGTAGCGGGGGCATGGAGAAGAGACAGAAAATGCATTTAGAGGCATGCATGATCAATTGGACAGAGGAAACCAATGCACATGTGTGGACATTGTTCACCTAGCCCAGCCATGTGGGAGGCAATTGCTTCACATTGCCTTGTTTGCGGCTTCGTGGAGAACTTGGTCACCACTCCTCTCCACCACTCAGCGTTGGGGAAAGTAAGGACACACCACTGATTTATCTTTAGCTCTCCCTACCTGTGCTCGCTGCTGTCCGTAGTCTCTCACATTGCCACTCACATTGCCACTCACATTGCCACTTATATTGTGGCACTCACATTGCCACTCACATTGTGGCACTCACATTGCCACTCACATTGTCACTCACATTGCCACTCACATTGCCACTCACATTGTCACTCACATTGTCACTCACATTGCCACTCACATTGCCACTCACATTGTCACTCACATTGCCACTCACATTGCCACTCACATTGTGGCACTCACATTGCCACTCACATTGCCACTCACATTGCCACTCACATTTCCACTCACATTGCCACTCACATTGTCACTCACATTGCCACTCACATTGCCACTCACATCGTGGCACTCACATTGCCACTCACCTTGCCACTCACATTGTCACTCACATTGCCACTCACATTGCCACTCACATTGCCACTCACATTGTCACTCACATTGTCACTCACATTGGCACTCACCTTGCACTCACCTTGCCACTGGTCGTCCCACTCTTCTTGCCGCTGGTCCTGCCGGGGCATGTGAGCTTGTGGGAGGGCCAGTGCGCCTTTTGGCACTCTCTGCTGCAATACGCCACCTTGCCACACCCGCCACAGCTCTTCAGCCTCACACCGCCACCACCCCCCACCGTCCCACACCCCGCAGCACCGCACACACGCTCCCCACCACTAGCAGCAGGACCAGTGCCACGTGCAACCGCAATGGGTGCACTTGCGTGGTCCGGTGTGGCACTGGAGGATGGAGCAGCATGGGAGAAAGGGGCAGCAGCAGCAGCACAAGCGGATGAGGAAACATGTGCGGAAGAGGCAGCAGGGGTGGAAGGGGCAGTAGGGGAGGCAGGGCGGTAGCATGGCTCCCCCAGCAGCATCTCTCGCAGACAAGCCAGCAAATTGACTCCCCCTGGCCATGGCTTCAAATAAGCCGGCTCATCCCCCTGCTTGCCCTTCCCATCATCCCCCTTCGTCCGTCGACCCCCATTGTCACTGTCATTTCCGTGACTATAGCTGCTGCTTCCGAAGATGTCGCTGAGATTGCTGCTTTCACTGATAATTTCAGAAAGCCTTTTCTCACTGTCAATGTCTTCACAGAACCTGGGTTTGGCAGCCCTTTTCCACAGCTTGCGCCACTTGTCACTCGTAACCTCCTCTCCCTGCACTCCATCCCTTGCGGCCCGCTCCTCTCTTCCCTGGCACGTGTCACTCAGTGCCTCGGCCTCCAGCTTCATGCTGCCCTGCCATGCAAACTCCACCGCCAGCCACCACATCTGCACCTCCTCCCACACCCTCCCGTCCGCTCCCTCTCCGTCTCGCAGCTTGTGTAGGTCCTTCCGGTCGGTGATTCCCAGAATGGGGGCGGCCCATTTTGGAGCCACGGCCAAGAGGAAGAGCACGGGATCCAGCTCTGCCTGATTGTGCAGCAGAGCCGACCTTAGAAAGCCCGGCACGCTGGCAGGGAAAGGCGGCACGCCCATACGAGCAGCGACCCGGTCGAATTCGGGCAAGAGAGGCGGGAAGAGGGATACAAAGCGGTTGAAAAGGATGGAGGCAGGTCGGTAGGCGTAGTTGGCGATGAGCGTGAGGAAGGGGATGCTACGGCTGTAGACAGCAAGGCAGGGCTTGCACTGAGCGCATGCAGGTGGCTTGACCAGATTCCCGGCAAACTCCAATAGGAAATCAGCATCGGCAGTGCAGCGAACGATGGGGTATTTCCTATGCACTAGCGGCAGCAGCTTTGTGAGCAGCTGCTGCAGCAGCCTCTCGTCTAAGTCACACCCCGATTTTCGAACTCTCTCTTCTTCCCCACGTCCTCTGCTTCCCTCCTGCTTGCCCCTCCCTTTGTCTCCTCCCTCCCTCCTCGCGGCCCCAGTCTTGCCTCCTGCGTTTGACCCCTGTCCGCCCTTCTCTCCTCCTACCCCATGCTCCCCTGCTGGCCCACTCGCTTCCTCCACAATTCCCAGCCGAAAGAATCTCGCACTCAGATCATCAGGAAGCTTCGCAGCAGCTTCATCGCCCTGAGGCCACTCCTCCCATTCCCAGGCAAAGCTGCCTTGGTCCACAGGCTTGGGGATGGCACCGAGCCTGACCAGGAGGCTCGGAAGGTCCCGAAGCGGGTGACGCATGGGCCGGACCTTCCCCTGGGGGCTGTCCTTGCAGCATTGACTAGCGGGGATGACTTCAGAGCCATAGGTGCGGGCCCACTGCAGAACGCAGGCAGCACGATACGTGAAGACGGCAACGACAGGGTTGGTGTTGACAGGAGTTGGGTTGGCAAATGCCGCTGCCACTGCCGATGGTGATGCTGATGCTGTTGTTCCCACACCTCTGCCTGCTGCCCCTCCTTCACCCTGCGCCCTCCGTCTCAGTCTCTCCCTGGCCGTCTCAATAGCCGCATCCTCCACCCATGTCTTGCTCGCAGTGTTGCCATCCTGGAGGTAAAGATTGGTCTCCCAGCGGTACTGTGGCGAGGACAGCACTGAAGCAACGCAAATAGCAAAGTCAGTCGCACCTATGCCACTCACATACATGCCCTTGGGAATTTCCGTGCCTTCCAGATTGCTGCTGCTGCTGCTGCTGCTGCTGGCACCACTGCTGCTGTCCCCCCCACTACAGTGGCTGCATCTAAACTCCCTCCCTTCCCCTCCTCCATGCTCCAGAATCCAAGCCATGCCATCCACATACCTCTCCCACACATGCCCCTTCAGATGCTCCCTCCACTTCCCACCCTTCCCATCCCATGACCCTTCCGGGTTCCCATCATTCTCCATCTGCCGTTTACCCTTGCTTGCTCCCGCAACTCCCTTGCCTGCTCCCCCCCACCTCTCTGCATGCGCCTTCTCCAGCCCGCCAGACAGCAGATTCTGCATGGCAACACCGAATCCTTCCTCCAAATCCCTGCTTTCCTTCACCCCGAGAATCTGAACCAGCATGGAAGCAAGAACGTCCTTCTCCCTCTGCCTGCGTGCCCCTAGCGCAGACACGATGGGTGGATAGGCCATGGAAGTCGATGCATGCGCTCTGCATAGAGTCACGAACCGCGGGCACCTCGCTACAAGCACGAGGAAGGCAGCGAAGCTGACAGCATGGCGGTAGGCAGCCCAGCAGCTGCTGCAGCGCCAGCAGCAGGAGAACACTGCAGAGGAAACAGAAGCAGCAGGGGCAGCAGCTGCAGCAGCAGGGATAGCATTCGTGATAATAGCGACAGAGCCAAGGGGTATGCCTGCGGCGCTTGGAATGTCACTTAGAATGTCAGGCAGGCAGGATCGGATCCTCCCCAGGTCCATGAGCACACCCACACGAGGCTCAGCCATCCACTCGAGAATCATCGTTTCCGCACAGAGCAAAGGGGCCACGTCACACTTGAGTTGAAAGTGCATGTGAGGCGGCACTCCCAGCCGCGCTGCTGCCTCTGGCACGGGAACCTTCAGCGAGAACTCATACACTGCCCGGGTCGGACGCTTGGGAGCGAGGGGGATGGAGAAAGGCTGTGTTTCTCGCAGGTGATATCGGAAGTCTTTGGGACTGGTCATGATGAGGGCGTGCTTTGTGCGCTGGCTCACAGCGTGGTCCAAGCAGCACTCACACACCGCCAGGCCCCACGCGTCGCTCACGTCCAAGTAGTGAACCATGTCCGCCCGACGCAGCAACTGAAGCTTCTCTGTATAATCCTCAGCTCTTGCCCTCTCTGGCCTCCGTCCTTTCCGCTCCTCCATAATCGGCAGATCTTGGGGCTCCCATGTCAAGAGTTGAGGGTTTTGAAGAGTCAGGTCGTCCCATATTGTTCCAACACGCCGAGGAACGCAGGTGCTGGTACTGGCAGCCGCGCCAGCAGCAAAGAGCTGGATCTTGCCCTTCCCCTCACCATTGCTTTCACCTCCTTTTTTTCCTTCTTTCTTCCGCTTATCCTCCTCCTCGTCGTCATCATCGCTGCTGGAAGGGAAATGGTCCCATTTGCTGTAGTCAATACGGTGAGCGGGAGCAGCAGCAGGTGCTGCAACTGCAGTAGCAGCAGCACGAGTAGCAAAAGCAGCGGCAACATGAGGCACGCCCACAGAAGGCATCGCAGGTGGACCACTCGCAGCTGCTGCAACGCCGCCTGGTGATTCTATTTCGCCTGGGCCTTCTCCATGATCCACTGCAGTCACTGGGAGCACTAAGATAGTTGTACCCGTTTTAAGCTTGGCTCGCTGTACTGTTTCCTGGGGAGAAAGGTACGATACCTGCCCAAAAATCATGAAGCGGACGTGCTGCGGTCGAGCGGCATGATCCGTTCCAGGTTTCACCCCAGCGAGTGCTCCCTGCTGCTGCTGACGTGTCTCGCATGGTAAGCAGCAATGTGGCAGATGAGTCTGAAACAGTCTATTGAAGACTGACCCAAGACGTTCCTTAGGGGAAACTGTAACGGAGACGACAGTGTGGGATGATGCGGCTGATGTGTTTTCGGAGGAGCTGTCGTGGCTTCCTTTGATGACGTCACTATGGCTGCTGACGTCACTATTACGGATGGTGCACCCCTCTGTGCTACTGTCGTCGTTTCTATTGTCCTCTGATCCGTGTCGAATCAAATCAGCTGGGATTCTAAATCTGACCTTAAACGCCATGTTGGACAAAAGCACTCAAAAAATAAAGAAGTGCCTATCGATTAGGGTTTCCTGATCTTGAGCGCCTCAAAACACCAGCTGGGATTCTGAATATATCCTCGAACGTCATGTGCGACAGAGCAAGCAATACTCGAGGATACACATTTCTGGTTCCGTCACGAATGAATGACAGCAATGCGGTATCTGAGACTTCTCCGCAAACCTGTACACACGCTAACGCGAGGATACAGCTGTGTAAGGGGTTGTCATAAGTATTGGCTTGAAAACTGATGCAACCGTAATAGTTTCTCGTGCAGAACGTCCTCTGAGAGCGGTTTAATCCAACATCCTTCCCTCAAGGCCGCCTCCTTTGCCGCTTCAGAGAGGAAGATTGAGATCGCGGAATGCCTGCGACGCACTCGTGATGCTTCTTCGCTCTGATTAACAAACAGGGCATCGTTTTAACTTTTAAAACGTTTGCAAAGGTTTGGCTAGGCTCAGCAGTTGTTCCTAATCAGTAGCATTATAAGAGCGTGGTAAGGGAAACATATTGAAACCGGCAAAGCTGTGAGTTTACATGACAGCGACGCTCCATTGACGCAGAGAAGTCACTGAATCATGGCTGCTTGAGCATTTGAAGCTAATGTAGTGGAAACAGCGGTAGGCGAAATTTGTTGAATCAGGAGTAGGTTTGGAGGACCTAGGCTAAGAGGTCAAGCAACAAGAATCCTTTTGTCGGGCGAACAACTCACTCGCATCATGGCCCTGTTCGGCAGGCGGATCAAGCACAGGCTCGGCACAGGTTTGTTTGTATCTGCTGGAGTTCGGCAACCAACCAGCTTCCACGAAGCCCCTGAGAATGTCGAGCCACCCCTGTCAAAACCTTGATTTCGCGCTAAAATCAAACCAATCTTTCCCCAACGGATCTTCGAAGCCAAACCAAAGCAAACCATACCAAACCAAACCAGCCGAACCCAAGTAACCAAGCAGAGCCCCTCATTGCCGAACCCCGCATGAACAAACAAGAAATGAGTAGTGCAGCAGCTGCAATAAACCCTTCTGCTTTCTCACTCGCTCCTGCCACTCCTGACATCCATATCCTTCCATAGCAACACCTCCTTACTTACATTCGATTCCTCTCTTCTGGAAATGCTTCGGCTTATTTTACTAACAACCAACACTTAGAAACTTCATTGTCTTCTTTTGCAGTAACTAGCAAAAGTATTGACTAACTTTCAATGTTACGTTTCGGGTCCCACCGGATCTGATTCGACGTAAATCCAAGGATCATAGCAGCAAAAAGAGGCAACGGAATGCTGTAGTAATGGCGTCGTCAGTAGCATGCGTACAGGTAATGCTTGTTTGGCGCACCCAGCTTTGCCTTGTGCTCTGGGCTTATAAGCGGTTTTGACATTTCGCACGGTTCGTACAGGTTCGCCAGAGCCATGACGTGCTCTTAAAAAGCACAGGTTGTTACATGTTTGTTTTTTCCCAAACAGTAGAGGGCGGCTGGTTTTGTTGTTTGTAAGTTGCACGGTTACCACTATTTTTTCCGTCCAATATAGCATGCGAGTACACACCCTTCCTCAAATTGTCACAAACAGTAAACCCAACCCACCAGCCAATGAAACACTCAAATTTGTACTCATGCTACTTCCCCGTCATCGTTCTCCGATCGCGGCAATGTTCACAAGATGTGCACATTGCCGGCAGGAGGAGAGTTGAACTCATCCGAGGGGATTCAAACCCCTTCACAGGCGCATCCATTCGGCGGCTGCCAGGTAGCCTCCCATGACGGCCGGCACACCGCCGTCAATCAGCTCCTGGCGGCGCGCCGCCTGCTGAGCCATAGTCACCCACGATGGGGTGGGCTCCGTCATCCATGCCGGCAGCACACGGCCACGGCGACGAGGTGTCTCGCCGATGGCGTGTCGCCCTCACGCAAGGCAGGCGGCGGGGTCATGTTGAGATTAATAGGCGGGCTGGCGCGCTCCATACGCGCCCTGATGATGGGTTGCGGATGTCGAAGAGCGCGCACAAGTCCCGCGGGGTGATGCCGGTTGCCTTCGCGTAGCCGATGAGCATCTCGGAGGCCGCTCGAGCGTAGCGCCGTGCCTCGCGGGACTCGGGGTTGCTGTCTTCGTAGACGGCTTGCATGGTGGCGGGGGCTTCCCACATCTCCGCAGAAGGCGCGGTAGGCGGCTCGGTCGCGAGCGGATCCTCGCCCGGCTCTGCGCAGGTTGCCTGGTTGTCGTCAATGGCGACCAAGGCCGCTGCCGGCATGGCGCTTGAGCCGAGGCCGAGGCGATCGATGAGGATGCCAACATCCCCGATCTCCTCGTCAAGGCCGATGTCCACATCTCGGCCCACATTGACGGCGTCGTCGCCCACAAGTGGAAGGTCCATGGCCCACGCACGCGGCAGGCAGCCGGTGCGCCACCAACAACGCTGGATGGTGCGCACCTCGATGTTTATCCACGCGTCGTTGAGCCAGGCCACGACGTCGCGGAGGTTGGGCTTGAAGCGCGCCACGCACGAGGTAGCTCCTTCCGCATTGCAGCGGGCGGTGAAGGCGCGCAGCCAATGCTGCCGGTACCGCGCCTTCGCCATCGCGATGAGCCCCTGATCGAGAGGCTGGGTGAAGCAGGTGGTGTTCGGTGGGAGATACACCAGTCGGACGTTCGAGAGAGAGCGCGTGCGGAACCCGAACAGGTCTTCGGAGGTGGCGCCTCGCGACGTGAGGACGTGGGTGCTCGCGTTGTCGAGCAGAATCACAATATGCCGACCCTCGGCATACATTGCTGCGTTCAGCTTCTCGATGAAGAGGGTGAAAAGCTGCCATAGGGGACGGGCAGGTCAAGGCACATGAACATTAGTTCACATTCACATGGTGCATAAGTGTGAAATTCAAGTATAAGTGAGGAAGCATAAGTGTGAAATTCAAACCATAGTGATCATTAACAACTCACCGGTGAGGTCATACAGCCTTTGGCTGTGTTGCGCCAGTAGCAATGCTCCTCCGGATCAAAGTTAGGGCGGAAGTCATGGGGGTGCTTCGCCTTGGAGATCACCAAGGGGCGGAAAGTGTGCGAGCCGTCGGCGTTGACGAGAAAGCCGACGGTGAGGCAGTCTTTCACTGCCTTCCTGCCCGCCACACGGCTAGCGCCGTACGTCTTGCGAGGCAGCACCGAAATGAAGAGTGCAGTTTCGTCGAAGTTGTATGTGTCGCGAGGCCTGACAGAGAGGTGCATGAGGAGCTGCGGGAGCTTCTCCTGAGTCGTACGGACAGCCGCAATGTCCTGGTCGGCCGCCTCACCACATGCGGCAATGCACCTCACGCCCTGGCGGCGCAAGGCACGGCGGACCCAACCGATGGAGCACCGGAACGTCGACGGCAGGGACATGCTGCGCGCCAAGGTCGCAACATGCTCTCGAATTGTCGCAAGGGTAAGCGGAACGCCAGCCGGGCCAGCATTGGCGATCCAGCGCGCCATCGCCCGCTCGAGTTCAGGATGGGCTCTGTGAGGATCTAGGATCGAGCTCAGAAAAGAGAATTTGAATTGAATGAATTGAATGAATCACCTGGGTACAACACGAGGCTATATATAGGCTCGACACAAGGCCCCGTAACCAGGTGTTACGCGAAGGTTCCGCGGGTCGCGAAGCGTCCCGAACAGATCCTTCCCGAATTCGGTAGAAGGCAATTCGGTGGCAACCGAAAAGCCAGAATTCGGTGCACGCAACCTAGCTCGGTGCTATAACTATAATAAAATATAGGAAAGCACCTAGCCTAGGAAATCAAGCAATTCATGCATGCATATAATTATCCTATGCTAGAAATAGCATAATAAAGTAAAGGCAAGCAAGCATAGCTGGCATAAGCCGTCGTACTCTCACACGTCCCCCCCTCAAATCTGGGTGGCGTGAGAAACACCCTGCTTGACAAGATAGTCCTTGAGAGCACGGCGTGCGTTGCCCATATCAGCTTATGCAACCCAACTATCCTCAGTGGGGTCGTATCCCTTCCAGCGTATCAGGAACTCGAGGGCCTTGCCGCTGCGGCGCCGATGAGTGAGAACGCGCTCGATCTCGTACTCGGGTTCATCCTGTATGAGAACAGGTGGTGGTGGCGGTAGTTGCCGTCCCTGGAACTGTTGGTTGGGGTCCTTGTAGGGCTTCAGTAGCTGGACATGGAAAGCATTGTGAAGCTTCCATGTATCTGGTAAGCGCAAGCGGAATGTAACTGGTGTCACCTGTGCCTCAACGAGAAAAGGACCACAGAAGCGAGGCCGGAGTTTGGATGGGAGGTGAGACAGGTTCAAGTTGCGCGTGTCAAGAAGCACCTGATCTCCGACTGCTACTGAGTGATCACGTCGCTGACGATCGGCATACTGCTTCTGGGAGTTCTGCATCGTGGTGAGACGTCGCTGAGTCTTCTCCCATAGCTGCTGCATGGTGGTGACGAAGTCATGTGCGGCTTGGACGTGTGCCGGTGTGGTTGGCTGCTGTGGTGTGAGTGGTTCCCGTCCGTAACACAGGAAGAAAGGAGTTTTCCCTGTGGCCGCATGTGAGGCGTTGTTGTAAGCGAACTCTAGGGTCGGTAAGTGTGTGTCCCAGTGGCTGACGTCGTCCTTGCAAGCTGTGCGCAGTAACTGTTCAACCACTTGATTGAGTCGCTCTGTCTGTCCGTTAGTCTGGGGGTGGTATGCTGAAGACATTGCAAGCTTTGTCCCCAACAGTCCCATGAGCTCCTTCCAGAACTTACTGGTGAATTTTGGGTCTCTGTCTGAGATGAGTGTAGCGGGGATGCCGTGGATGGTGATGATGCGGTCGAAGAAGAGGCGCGCAGTTGCTTCAGCTGTTGCCGTGGCGTTGGTTGACCCATTTTGGAGAACTTATCGATTACTACGAGGATGGAATCGTGCCCCCGTGAGGTCGAAGGAAGTCCTGTGATAAAGTCGAGGCTAACGACCTGCCATGGCTGCTCCGGTACGGGTAGAGGCTGAAGTAACCCTGCTTTTTTCTGCTTGCTGCTCTTCATCCGCTGGCACGTGTCGCATGAGGTGACGAACTGCTGCACGTCTGCTGCCATCCCGGGCCAGTAGTAATACTTCGCTATCCCTGCTAACGTCTTGTTGCTCCCGAAATGTCCCGCGTAAGGTACGTCGTGAAATTCCTCCAATAGGATCTGCCGTAGCGGGGCGTAATTCGGTACCCAAATCTTTCCTGAACCCTTCCTTACAGCTAAGTCTTTCTCCCACTGTAACAGCTTCTTACTGAGGTAGGTGATGGGCTGCAAACTGCGTTCGTGATGCTGCATCAGTACTGCTCCGACTGCTTGGTCACTAGCGTCTGCTTCCACCACGTAGTTTCTGTCTGGATCCGGTAGGATGAGTACTGGCGCTGTAGTCAGTGCTGTCTGTTTGTTCACTGCGCGGTAGTCGATGCACATCCGTAAAGTACCGTCTGGCTTTGGAGTGAGGAGAACTGGTGCACCGTAGGGAGAGGTGGATGGGCGGATCAGTTGTCTGTCTAGTAGATACTCTATCTGTTTCTTCATGTCTGTCAGTTCAGTCGGACTCAGTCGGTATGGTGCACGTGAGACGGGTTTCGCACCTGGTTCCTCCACGATCTCGTGCTCGTGGGTGCGTGCTGGAGGTACGCCTGCGGGTAGGTCATCGGGCATTATATCCTTGTACTGCTCCAAGACCTCCTCCTCTGCTGCTGCCATAACCAGTGCTAAGTAACCCGTGTTACTCTCGTTCACTGTCCGTTCGAACTGTGCCAGTGTCGTTTCAGGAACGCTCCCTGTATCCGTCCAGCTTCGCAGCTCCACTCGTTTCCCGTTGTTGTAGATGCACGTTTTCCGGTTGACCTTGTCGATCTCGGGGTTGAACCGCTTCAAGAAATCTCGCCCCAAGATGAAATCTAATCCCTTGATATTCGTGATCGGCAACGTCGGCTTCCACCTCAACGCCCCTATCTGCAGCTGCAGTGTTGACTTGCCATGGATGGGAAGCTTCGTACCGTCCACCATCGTTGCTGTAAACTGGGTTTCTTCTGAGGATTCTCCAATTTTCTCCAACGTCCCGCGGTCGCACACCGAGTGGGACGCACCACTGTCCACCAGGGCCTGGAGGCGACGCCCGTTGCAGATCACCTCGAGTACTAGTGGTTGCTGCTGCTCCGAGTATCCGTAGATGGTATCGCTTATAGGATCGTAGGGTACGTCGAATATGTTATCCCTAGGTCCTGCGCTCGAAGATGCAACTTCAGTATCAGTTTTCAACTGAGAAAGGTTAGAAGGATTTATCCGAGGCCGATTCGGCTTCTCTTGGGCCTGGAACCTTCCACTAAGCCTTTGCAGCTGTGTAGGCTTCATCTGTGGGGAACAGGGAGCCTTTAAACACTGCTGCTGGGAGAGAATATTAACTCCTCGGAACGCTCGACCCGTATTAGCGCTCTGGAGTAGGGTCCCCATAATACCCAGTACCGGTTTAATTTCTGACTCTCCCTTAATAAAGGCTTGAAACCCACGAGAAGTAATATTCTTACTTGTCGGGGTATACGGCTGGAGTTTCCCGGTCGGTGCAGGGTCTTGTTTCGCGGATCCTCCATTAGTCTCGGCGATTTCCCTTGGTGCCGGCTGGTCGTGACGTTTTAAATTTGCGCCACCATATTCTCCTTTTTTCGCCCTCTCCGAAGTTGCCACGTTGTTCGTTTTCTGCTTCGGGGGTGCCGCACTGTTCTTGTCATTCAACTCCGCACACCTTCTCTTCATTTTCCAACACGCCAAGATACGATGTCCTGTAGCGCCGCAAAATTTGCACGTCTCATTATTTGCTAGCCGCTGCTCCACATCGCCCTCGTCGTTCTCCATCGGGTCGGCAGTCGTGGGTGGTGCCAATCGTCCCATGCCACTAGTTGGCTTGTTGCGTCGTGTTCCGTAGTAGCTACTGTTCAACGTGTCGAACTGTTCGATCAGTGCTGCCGGAAACTGCACCCACGTCCCCTCGCCTTGGACTATTCTGTTGTTGATCCACTCTAGAGCTGGGCCTCGTAACAGTGTTGCTGCGAGCCGTATGCGCATTGCGTCTTTTGTCGGGGTCGTGCATCCAACGGATTCGAAGTAAATATCGAGTTCAGCTACAAATCGACGAACGTCGTTCCTTTTTGCTGTAGGATCGAACGCCTCCGGTAGCCTCGGCTTCACTGCTTCGAGGTTAACTGTAGCTGCTGCCGTTGTCGCATGTAGAATTGTCGGTGTTGCCGCTGCTGCTGCTGCTACTGTTGTCGCTGCTGCTGTGGCGGTTGCCGACTGGTTCGCAAGGAGTTTTTCGAGTCGTGGGAGCGCCGCATGTATTTGCGTATGCTCAGCACGTAACTCCGCGATTTTCTGTACTGAAATATCTCCTTTTCCCTCCATTTGGCGATTTACAGGAAGATGCGCGACCAAAATAATCGAAATCTCGGTGCTGGTCGACTTACTGCGAGTCAAGTTGACTATAGGATCGACGAGCGCAAATTCTGTAGGTCGCGTAAATCTCCCTTGGGCGAAATTCGCGTCCGATCTTGGCCGTTGAGGAGAAAATCAATCCGACGCTCCAAATTCCAACTTTTTTGGGCGAAATTCTCTGGGCCGTTGAGATGAAAATCGATCGAACGGTCGAAACTCCAACCTTTCCACCAGTAAATCTGAGGGGTGTTCGAAAACCGAATCGAGGGGGACTTAGAAAAATTGCACGGAACTGGTTTTAGGTTCCGCGGGTCGCGAAGCGTCCCGAACAGATCCTTCCCGAATTCGGTAGAAGGCAATTCGGTGGCACCGAAAAGCCAGAATTCGGTGCACGCAACCTAGCTCGGTGCTATAACTATAATAAAATATAGGAAAGCACCTAGCCTAGGAAATCAAACAATTCATGCATGCATATAATTATCCTATGCTAGAAATAGCATAATAAAGTAAAGGCAAGCAAGCATAGCTGGCATAAGCCGTCGTACTCTCACAGGCTCCGCCGCGCACTCGCACAGCGTTGTTGTCGGAGGCCGCGGATGCCCATCGCTCGGACTCCTTCAGCACTCGGCCAATGGTGCTGCGATCAGGCCTCATGCCGAAGCGGGTGAAACACCAGCGGCTGAGGTCGACGTGGCGCAGCTGGGGGTTGGCGACATGGTGGGCGCAAATCGCGCGTTTGATATGCACAGCTAACTGGCTGCGGTGGTAGAGACGAGGCATGGTAAGCTACTGTGGGTAGGAGAGAGTGAATGTCGAGTGAAATTGGCTGCCTTTTTGAAGGGATTTTTTGTGCGCCTTAATGGGGCTTGAAGGTGCATTCGCAATGGCAATTGGTCAGCAGCACATCAGGAAGCACACATGTACGTGGCTTTGAAATGTGGCGTGGGG